AAACACTTTTTAAAAAAAAATTCTTAAAGATGGCTATGATGGCTTTATAATTCTATCATTTTCAGAGGCAGAGATCAAGATTGAAATTTCAAGCCAGCCTTGGGAAAAACAACAACAAAAATTTATGAGATTCTGTTGACCAAGAGCTAGGTGCAATGGGATGCCCCTGTTTATCCCAGTGATTCAGCGAAGCACAAATAAGACTGTAGTCCAGATCAGCCTGGACATAAAAGCAAGAACCTACCTCAAAAACAACCAATTCAAAAAGGGATACAGGGTGGCTCAAATGGTTAGAGCTCACACTCAGCTAGCACATGATCCTGAGTTCTAATCCCAGTACTGCCAGAAAAACACAAACTTTTCTTCCTTATGAATTCATATGTAAAGAGTGGAAAGTGTATTTGTTCTTGCTTTGATTTTATTCAAGTAAAATTATCAAAGGATATTGAATTTTTTATATCTCCTGGCATTCTTTTTATAGGCAGTATATGTTTTTTTTTTTTTAAACAAGAGCAGAGATACATGATTACAACTCATTGTGTTAACATTTCTATCACACTTCTAAATATGATTCAGCTGGACATCAAAAATCAGAAATCACCTGTGGTATATCTCTTAAATAAACTTTGTTCTTACCCCAAATACTAAAGATATAAAATTATTTACCTAGGTATACTGACACATGACTATAATCCAGCATTAGCAAGGTTGAGGCGTATACAGAGTTTGAAACCTCTCTAGGATACATAGCAAGGCTGTTTCAATAATTCTTTGTTACCACAAACCTTTGTGGGGAAGAAGAGGGGCAGAGTATGTGTTAAGATAGGCCTAGGATCTCCTGTACTTAACATAGGTTCGTACAAACATGTTAGCTGGTTGGTGGTTCATACCTATGATTCTAACTACTCTGGAGGCTGAGATATGAGGATCATGGTTTCATGTCCCCTCAGGCAGGAAAATCTTTCAGACTCTTATCTCCAATTAACCACCAGAAAACTGGAGATGACACTGTGGCTCAGAGTGGTACAGTGCTAGCCTTGAGCACAAAAACTCTTGACACAGCACCTAGGTCCTGAGTTCAAACCCCTTGACTGACAACACCCTTCTCCCCCCAACCACAACTTCATGTTACATATCTAACCTTTTCCCTTGTAAGTAATCACTGCTCTGAAATACAAAAAAGACCAATTAAGTAACTAAAAATTTGCAATTAGCTCAACTTGATTATGTGATTCTTCTTTACTTGTATCTTTTCATCAAGAAAATGGCTTAAAGTATCACTCACTTTTTTGTGCAGTAGAAAATGTTAGTAATCATAAACATACATGACTATTTTTCAACTAAAAATGAATTTAAAAAATTCAGTTTTTACTTTTTCCTTTAACATGGGTAATCAGTGCAAGAAATAGTAACATTTAATAAGTCTTGATACATAAGAAGAAAATGGTCCATGGAGTGAATCAATGTGGTTAATTAGCATGTACATAACTAATAACTACATATCTCCATAAATTACTCCCTTTTCCAATCAAATGTTAATTTATATATTACCAAAATGATTTAATTACTTTCACTGCCTATTGAATTCTGCATAAGTATTCAAAGATGAACATCTCCCTAATACAGTGAATTCTATTTCTCCCACATTGAACCCTTATAAAAGCAAATATATACAATATATACACTAGTGCACAAATTCAAAATAAGCTACACAATTACATTATTATATACTATATATTTTGACTTGAGAGGTTTCAGTTAAATACTTTTGAATTACACGTCTTTGACACTACATTTCTATACATGCTGTAAAGTTGTAAACAAGATTACTCAGAATAAATAACTACAAATTAAATATGGTAACACACCAAGTTCTTTAAATGTACAGTAGTAAGAGGCATAGGATAGCCTTTGTCATTAAAACAGTTTCCAAGTACAGACAAAAATAGAAAGGATTCACATGTAACACAGTTGCACATTTGGGAAGAAACTGATATATTGGTCCTTTGAAAATACTGGTATAATTTGGAGATGAATTGGCAAAAACACTGATACGTACTCACTGGTATGTATCTGGGTGTACAAACAGTATTACAGTAATCAAACCTAGAACCTTAATGCTAGGCAGACACTCTACTACTCAGCACCTTCCCAGCCCTCCACTTTCTTTTGGATTAATAAGGCTAACTAAACAAGACTAAGGAAACTAACCTGGTGCATAAGTCCCATAAGGACCAGTTTAATTTTATCTACATCTGTTTAAAAAGCAGATCAGTTGCACATAAATGTATGTCGCAGCACAAAATAACCACCTTTGCCTGAAAAATGGCCATCACAGTATTTTCATGAAGACATTTATACTTAAAAAAATTGATGTATGAACACAAAATCACTGAGCTTGTCTGTAGTCTGAAGGTATCCCTCTTAATGGCTAGGTACTAATTTAAAGTTGCATCTCCCTTCTAAAATATATACTTATTATCAGGGACAATCATGTCTAAAATTACAACCTATAGTTCATATTATCTATAGTGTCTAAAATAAGTACTACGTTTGAAAATACACAAACATGTATTAATTGATCAAAATCATTTTCAAATAAACAAAAGGGATGTATAGCATTAAAAAAGAATAATATGGAAATGTATTTTGTTTCCAAAGCGAATATGAAGTGTGGTTTAATATATCACTGTTGCCAATTTTACTGTAATTAGATTAACTTCTAGTACTTTTAAGTAATGGACAAGTTCTATTTTCCAGAAAACACTATAATTAGAATATATAACTTTAAAAAGGATAAAAACCCCCAAACAGAAGATTTTGGTCTTATATATAGTTGAGTTTGTAGGATATGAACAGTACAGTGTATTAAATTCCTGGAAGCATTCATGTAATAGTATTTATATCAGAATCATTTCTGTATGTGATATATGGAAAATACAAAGTTCATTACTTTGAAAAAGAATAGAACTTATAATACCATGAACGTTGTCTATGAAGCACTGTCACAAACTCTTTGTGAGTTAAGACCAGGGCATACAATGCTTTCTTTTTTGTCAGTCATGGGCCTGAACTCTGGGCCTGAGTGCAGTCCCTCAGCTCTTCAGCTCAAGGCTAGTGTTCTATCACTGAGCCACAGCACCACTTCTGGCTTTTTCTGCTTATATGGTGCTAATGAATCGAACTCAAGGCCTCATGTAGGCAAGGCAAGCACTCTACCACTGAGCCACCTTCCCAGCCCCTACAATGCTTTCTTATGATTTACTACATCTAAACGTTCCATCCTGTTGTTTCATTACTATCACATTCTAACAGTCACGTTGATTACTTCGAAATCAAAACACAATGTTCAATTATACAATTTACATTAGTCCATGTACTGGAGGACAAGCAATAGCTGAAAAGCTATCTGTGCAATATAAAGTAACGGTCACAATTTAAGTTATTTTTTAGTATAAAGGTTCTGGCAAACACAGAATAAATAACTATGGACCAGAATAGCTACTGAGTGTAACAGTACTCTGGAGCAGGATTATGCCAATGAAACCTTATAGATATTGAGGACAAAAAATTTTCTCATACATGCAAAATTGTCTTTTAAAGCACATAGGTAAAGAAGCACAAAGTCCCATTTCCTTTGTGGTAGAAAGAAAATATTTTAAGTTTTTGTTTTTCTAAACTATAATCATTTAAAAATAAACCTAAGCCACATCACTGAATATAGATTATATAGATAGCTTATGCTAACAGTGGGAATTATGTAAGAGAAATTTGGAAGAAAAACTACTTGAAATTTAGGTTATATACAAATGGATTAGTAGCAATTAACTACTAATTTGGAGTGTAACTTTAGCAATTTAAGTTATTAATATTAGTTGCTGGCATAACTATTTTAGAAGCACATTTAACTTTCCATTTTGATTTTCTCAGAATAAATGCTTCTGCTTTGTCTAGTAAGTGTGCAGTCTTTATGATCGAAAAGACTTAGATGAAGGCCATCCAAGAACTAGTGACTACTTTCATTCAGAAACATTTTTTCTTTGACATCTCAACATGACTTATTTGTATTTTTAATTAATGCTTTAACTTAAAACCCTTTTTCTTTTGTTGGTCATGTGCTTGAACTCAGGGCCTGGGCACTGTCCCTGAGCTTTTCTGCTTAGGGCTAGCACTGTTTGGCTTTCTAGTGGGCAATGGGAAATAGGAGTCTCACAGGTTTTCCTGCCTGGGCTGGCTTTGAACCTTGATTCTCAGATCTCAGCCTCCTAAGTAGTTAGAATTACAAGCAACAGCCACCAGTGCCTGGCTTTAAAAAAAACATTTAAAAGATGGAAATGATCTTGGCTCAGGATATTCTCTATCTTAAAAAATGTCAATTTTATTGCTACTATTGGAAAGATGTTGATATTATTTGACAAGACTTATAATCATTATGTTTAAATTTTAAAATTGAATAATTCATCTTAGAATCAAGTTACCTTAAAAATTCATTGATAGTTGCAAATAAAGCCTATGTGGTCTTTAGACAATCAATGAGACAATGTAATGATGGTAATCTTTATGTAGCAAGCATGTTATTAACAAATTAAGTCAAAATAAAATGTGTTACGAACCTTATTTTTCTCAAAAGATTCTCAATGGTGAACATTTTCAGCCCCAAATTTCCTAGTAAATGTGTTTACTTTTGCAAAAAAATAGAGCAAATTTTAGAATGTATGGATCTCAATATTGATTCTCAAGTATAATTTAGTTCAATTGTAGGCAATCTTTGATTAGGTTGATAATCTGTCAATTCAGTAATTACCCTTCCATATAATAGTACGTAGGGTATCTTTTGGAAACTTAAGATTTATTAAGCCCATTGTTAGTACTGTCAGTTCTGTAATAAGCATAAGGAAACACAATGTGTCTTTGCCTTAAGTGATACATACCAGATATTTAGCTAAAATCCTCATGCTATAAATGTTAAGTACATTTTTACAGAAAAACTTAAAACAAAGGCCCATATTTGGATTTTAATGTATGATGGTCTTTATTTACAATTTTATTGGCAAAAAAGAAGAAAAACTCTTAAGACAGTTTAACACACGACATTATAGCTGATCCTATCTGATCAAAGAAGTTCTATTTCAACTCTCCATCTAATTGTCCACAGATATACAATACTGAATCTGCATATGCAGTTTCCTTTATCAAGTACAGTGCTCACATTTTAGGCAGTCTTTAAGACACATAAATACAGAGGAAAGAAAAAATCATTCATTAAAAACTGCATCAAATGTAGGGTACTTTAAATATAAATTCATGTTGCTCCTAGTAATTACATATATGCAATGAAAATCAAAAGCTAGGCAAGCAATTGAACTTCCTAGGAACAGTTACAACAACCAATTATTTTCTGCAACGACCATTATATTTTTAATTTATCATGAACTACTCTGAACTTACTATGAGATGTAGCCAAAGTCAGAAGAAAAGATGTAGGGAGAATATTCCTTTTTTAGAGGAGAGTAAGCCCTCCAGAACCATGGGAAATAAACATCCTGTTGTTTCTAGGTGAAAAAAAAATTAATGCAGTCAATTTCAACTCATGATGAGCTGACTTAACTTTTTATCAACTTGTTCAGTGTCATTCTTCTAAATCAAGTGTGTTTAATTCTTCTTCTAATTCATCCAAATCTTCTCCAGTAAAAAGATTTTCATCAACAGGAACAGCATCGATGGCTCCATTTTCCTGTCCCTCCCCTTCGTTGTCCTCTTCCAAATCACTTCTTTCACCATTTTCTGCCCTACCTCCAGATGCTTCGCTTAATTTGTTTTCTACAAATAAAAACTGAAATCAATAAGGCACTCAAACAGAAAACACTACTGCATTAACAATTGAATGCAAAGAGTAATTATCCCTTTAATTTTTCTCATTTTTCATGAAAGCATTTCCTGGGATTACAGAAGCAAGAACTGGTTTTTCTTTTCCTGAGCTCATTTATACTAAGTGTCTATATTTACTGCAGCATCTTGATTTTCATTGTAGATACTTGACAGATTTATGGTTTATACATCTGAAGGCAAGATGAAATATCTACATCTGTTCCTTACAATAACCTAGTGATTTAACTTTATAGTCAACTTCCAAGTAATGCTTTGCTTGAATAAAAGGTTATTGACCAAAATGTACTTTGCAAATAGTAGCTAAATTGCACTGGTTCTAATGTTTTGACATGAAAAATGACTATTGGGACTGAGGATGAAGGTCAGTGCTATAGTGAGCTGGATAAACTTCTGCACGACCATATTTCCTCCCTTCCAGTGTGCTACCCCCCACTCTACATACAGACAAGACTCTAGTGCCTTGTACCTTTTCCTTATAGGCATAAGAGACTGGAAAAACAAAAAAGATGATAACGAAGTCTTGGGAATCATAGCTTCTAAAATATTTGCAATTGTGCCTAGGGTCACCAAAGCCCTACTTAAAAAATTAAGCCTACCAGTTGGTATATTGGGGAAGATAAGAGTGTCAGAATTCTCAGATGCTACTTTTACATTATAACTTGTATACTTTTATTGCAAAAATAGTTTTGCCATTTTTATCTCAGTTTTGTCCTTAATTAGTATTCCTTTCCACACTAAGCATGCCAATCTTTTACTCCTGTTTTCAAACCCATCCCTCACTCCAAGCATAAAATGATATAAACAATACAACCATTGTCTCCAAAAATAGTTCTGCCTTCTCCCTATTTTGACACTTATTCATCATTTTTATTTCCAGGTCTTGCTTTCCCTTTTTAAAAATCTTTTCCTCTTCTATTAGATCCTTTTCTCTGATCTAAGTACACATTTCAGTTTTCCATGTCTTAAAAAGCTTCCCTTCTTCCCATGATCATGCCTCCTTCTCACATTAAGTGTGGGCAGTCTGTATTCATGTTATCCTCTTCATTCTCCTATCACTGTAGTGAACACTGGGACCCTTTCCTCTTTTGCCTATCATAAAACACTGCATCAGTGTCCGTATGTACCATATGTTATCTATGGCCTGTGCCGGAGAGCTCATTTATTCAGACATCAATGGAGATGACTTTCAAAACTTTGTTCTTCTGCAAATGATTACACAGTATCCTAGATAATACCACTTTTTTGGTAAGAAAGGAAACAAACAACCCTCAAATTCAAAAAGGATACCAACTGAACTATCTATAAACTTGTTTTTGCTCCCCTTCTAGTTTTAGTTAATGGTTTTAATATCCACTCAATTAATTCTACACAGTTCCATTATTCACTACTACTTTTATATATGGTCAAACTATGTATTTATGTTATTGGTCTAATACCTGCACATATTAAATTTGCCAAACCTGGCTTGATCTTTAGATAGCATCCTAGTTCTTAGAATTCTTCAAAATTAAACTACTTACCATCTTTATCCAAAGCATATGTGTTGAATCTTTCAAGACTGGCTACCGTAATACCTGTCTCATCCACAGCTCTAGGGACGTACAGACTTAAATCTATGTCATTTACACTCATGGACTCATCAACCTTTAACACAGAACAAGAAAAGTTGTTACATAAGAGAACAATTTTCACAAATTCTTTTACTTCTAACATTTAACATAATACCACTAATGTCAAGTAAAAACAAATGATCAAACTACTGCCAAAATTAATTTCGTTTTCTAAATTTCTCTTGTGTCATGTTTGGTGCTTTTCCCTCTACATCATATATTTAGAGTATTATATCCAACTTACAATTTTGTAATGGCTATAAAAAATGAATAGTACATTATTGATTACTATTAAAATTGCTCACAGCCACATGACTACTCATATCTCTTACTTTGTACTTTTTAAAGCAGTATGGACTATACGATGTAGAGATTACCATTATATTCATATTGCAGATCGGGGTGGAATTCCACAATAAGCAATTCCAACTGATGGAATAAGGAATGAATGGAGGAAGTCTGGTTCCAGGACTATGGTTTTTCACATGCTACTTTAGTCTACTATGTTTTGTTTTCCAATGAACACAGGCAAATGGAAATTTTCCTCTTACCTCATCACCTCCTGTTCCCTGAATGTAACGGGTGTCATCTGCTTCTTCATCATCATCATTGACAAGTTCAGGACGAAATTCAAACACTTCACGACCACTGATCTATTCAGACACAAACGTATTTATTAATTTTAAACAAATGCATGATTAAATAAAGACAGAATCCTGCCACTATTATCAATCAGTTTGTGTGAGCTCAGGACATACCACCAGTGCCTTCCCTGCTTTGAAGTCTGCTTTTCTTCTTTCCATATCTTGTTCAAGTTTATCAATCTTTTCTTGTCTTTTCCTTTTCTTCCATGCAAGAAAAGATTCTAGAGTGATTTTGGTAACATTTGGACCTAGGGCAGAGCGCTGCAAAGACAGAGAGAGTTAAGGTTACCAGAGTAAAATTTAATAGAAGCATTCTCTCAAGGTAATTATCTCCTTGACTATCATACTCAAGACAAAATATGAACTAAATTAATGGACTTTTACCTTATATGGCAAAAAGCAAGATGAGCACCCACAAACACTGGTGCTCAGGATAGTATGTGTTACGTTGATCTAGATAATCTTCTTTTAATATTAAATATGAGTAGTAAAATTTATCAAGAAAATTATTTTAACACAAGGGAATTTATAAAAACAATAAATATAAAAAAGTATCAAAACGATATCCATTGCTCATCAGAGGAGAAACAAAAAGTAAACACAACAACAAAAAACCACATCAGCTCCTCGGGGTAACAATTAGGTAATAAATATATAGTAATAGTATTTGGTAAATACCTGACAAGTATTCAGTGTTAAAAAATACATAGATGTTAACACAAAAGCAAGGACGACAGGGTATTTTTCAAACATTAATAGCTACCTGATGGCAAAACAAGATACAAAAAAATCCCCACACATCTGACTCTAAAGTCTTTATTTTTTATTATACTATGTTGTATCTTGTGCCACAAACCAACTAATGTACACAAATGTGGTTAGCTTTATTTGCCTAAACCTACATGGTGGCAGTGATGACTGTGTATCAAGTTCTGCATCCTCCTTAGCAGGAATTTCCATAAGTCTCTGGTGATATAGTCAATCTACTCCCAAATAAGGGCCTCTAGAATTTGTTTTTTTATTTTTTTGCAGTTAGTTGATTGAGGAATGTTGAGGTACAAAGAGAGCTTCTTTAATTCTCTAGGAAAACTTGCTGCTTGGTTAAATCTATGCTGACTACAAAAGGTTCTCTCATGCTCAGAGATGCTGTCCTGCTCTGGTGTCTCCAAGCTGAGGAGCCTTTCAATTTCTGAATCTATCTGCATCTATAAAAGGGTGACCGAAGGGGTGAGAGGTGATACTTAATTCTCCATTGGTAACCAAATGTCTGCATTGGTAACTTGACCTTTCTTTAGACTATTTAGTTGGGCATTTCCATACTTGTTAAAATGCACAACTTGGGGAGTGAGGCATGAAGGTGTTATGAGCTGACATTAGTTCAATTAAATAGGGGGTGTCTGGAACAGAAGAGTAGTGCAATTTGTACAGATGTTAAGAGGATACAATAGAAACCTGACAGCCATTCTGTTTCATAAAATCTATTGATATTTGGCAAGTGGCTGTGATTATTATCCTTTCCAATTAAGTAGTTGCAATGAAACTAAGACACAGAAGGGTTAATGAGTAATGTCACTAGAAAGTGGTAAAGCAGCTGATTATTACATGAATTGTGGTGAAATTACAACTGGAGCCAGGTTTCAAAACCTATCTTGAACTGAAAACCAATAGGTAATGCCTGGTGCATTGGGTCTTTTCTACAATAGGTGGGGGCTCTACTGTGCGCCATCAGTATCTTTCCCTAGGATTGACTGCAGCTACGTGAGGGTGCCATTTCAAACTAGACTGTCCCTTTAGTGAGTTGACTTCCTTTACAGTGCTGCGATCCTTTAAATTGCTACACTGAATTTGAGGATGGCTTTTTCTGGAGAGAGAAGGCATGGAGTGGGGGAAGAAATGTGATTACCATCTCACTTTTGGAATATCACTTCTCATCCTACTCTAGATCACACTAATATAGGCTCTCCCTGGAGTCTACAGGTACTTCTAGGCAGCACATCTTGAAGTGCAATTTGGTCCCACAGAGTCCTATGCTACAGACACAGATATTTAAGAATTCAACCATGGTGTCGGGGAGCCCTGGCCTAGCATTTAAAAAAGTCAGTTTGAAAATGAACAGTTTCATCATCTCTTTACCTGAATTTTGGTGCTTACCCCCTTTAAGATTTCAAGGGAGCTAGATTGGAGCTGGGAAACAAGCCAAGGGCCCAAGGCAGCTCCATCTTGGAACCAAGGACGAGACTATTAGGGTGTGCCATGCCCTACTTGTATGCCTGGGCTACTCTTCTGCTCAAAAACCAAACTTAATAAACAAAAACAATGGAGGGGACAATTCAGCAACATCCACCTCTAGGAAGAAAGTTCTCCTTTGGTTAAGTGCATATGAACTCTCCAGCCTTTTATTTACAGCTTGAGTTTTCATATTTGCCAGCTAGTCATTATCCTAAGTGTCTAGGTTCAACAGTTTGAAGTCTGTGTCATTTATGTACACCTTGTCCATTTTGCAGTACTCAGTGACATTTTTCTTCCCTTTCCCCTGTCATACCCCTGCTTTTCTGGGGTCCTAGGAAGTTTTAACTGTGGATGAAATTTGAAATTATCATCTAGCTGTTCACTTTGGGAAATCCTGTGTGGAAACAACAAACATCAAGGCTATACACAGTAGTCTATAAACCTTAGAATCAATGAGAAGACCTACTCCACTGTTTGATGTGAACTGGAGAGTTAAGCAATGTTTCATTCTGGAAGTCATTTATTGCTATCAGGTAAGAGCGGAAAATCAATACACTAAAATGCATTGGCTCTAGAGCACCAAAGGTATCTGAATTCCTGAATACATGTTGTCTTTTCCAGAGACAAATCCAGAATTAAAAGCCATTTGTCATTCTTAGGAACCCTTTTCTATATTATGTGTCTGTTTCTTTCTAAATTGTATATTGTAACCTTCACGAGAAAGTAGGCAAGCAGAGAAATATTCTGGGAATGATCTTGAGAGATTTGTTCCTTGTCTGCATATAAGATCAGCTTAACCTACCAAAAGAAGACAGTTTTCCATCCAATTTATAAAAATTCACTTGGTGATGGCTATGTCTATACTAAATAGTATTGAATGTCTCCAACATATAGAAATGGCAAGTGTCTGAAGTCATAGATATGACAATTACCATGGCTTGATCATTATACACTATATACATGAGTTAAAATATGACATAGCTATCCACAGATTATAGTTAGGGCCAGAAACAAAGCAATGTATCTGGAAAACTGTGAAAAATAAACAAGTATACACAATTAGACATTATATTAGATTACCAAAGATGAAGAATACTTTAAAATATGCACTGCTAAATTTAGTATTTCCAGTAATCTATCAAGTCATTCTCTGAAGTCACGTTAACTCAGAGTAAAATTCATTTTTGCTGAGCAGAAAATAGTTTAAATTCACAGAGTAAAATTCTTTTTTTTTTCTTTTTAGCCAGAAAGGAGTATTCAAAAAACCTCTGTCATACTGCTCAGAGGGGAACAGTACTTTGAGTTCAATGACACAATATATGTGTATACTAGATCTAAAAGATAACATATACATAACATACATGGGATTACATACACATCCATACATACAAGGAAAGAAAGAACATGCCTGTAACTGTGGAACAGACTGAGGCTGATGGTGCAAGGTGGTAGGAAAGTGTTAGCAGATGTACATTACCAATTCCATCTGTGAATGAAGATAGCAAAATGAAACTCACTGAAAGCTGTTGAAGAATAGGAGGTGGTAGACATAGGAGAAGAGCAAATGAGGGGGTCAATATGATTAAAATATTGAATGTAAATGTGAAAAAAACCAAGTGAAACCACTTTGGGCAATTAGCATATAATATAAAAAAAGGACAGTAATAGAAAACAAGTACAGGTCCTTCTGGGATGGGGTACTGGTGGCAGGGGGAGGCTAACAGAGGAGGGTGAAAGAAGTGGGAATGGTCAAAATGTTTTATGCACATGTGTGAAAATGTTACAATGAAGAGATGGGTTTGGGAAGAGAGATGGAGGGGATGAACATGATCAATTACATACCATGCACAAATGAAATCTCCTTGTACAACTGATGGATGCTAATTAAAATGTAAACAAAAATACAAAAAATACTAGACAGGAAGTTTTCTCCTTCCAGTAATTACTGATAGCAAGGAAAGGATCTAAAATTAAAATTTTAATCCAACTGGAAACTGACTAAACCTTTTTTTTTTTCCTCCTGGGGTTTGAACTCAGGGCTAGGCATTGTTGCTTGGCTTTTTGCTTAAGGCTGATGCTATGCCACTTGAGCCATTCTTCCACTTCCAGCTTTTTACCGGCTAGTTGCAAATAGTCTCATGGGCTTATCTGCTCCAGGTGGCATCAAACCACAATCTTCAGATGTCAGCCTTTTGACTGCTAGTAGTAGTACTGATGTAAGCCATCAGCACCTGATTGACCAAGCGTTTTCAATAATTAATTCTCAGGAAAACAATTTGCTAATCAGTAGCTAGCATTTAGCAATGTTACATAATCCTGAAACAAATGTCCTGATTGGATAGTGTACATGGTAAAGTTTACATTTTATCAGAGTTTACATTTTAGATATGAAAAAAAAGTAGCACAATTTTAGGAAAAGACTGCATTTTTTAACTTTTCATAACATGCTATTGCCCCCAAGTGGTAAATATTAGTAATCACATTAGGAAGTAGACAATAATTACCTCTCTTTCAATCAGGTCTTCCAATGAAATTTCATCTTCTTTCTCCTCTTTTTTTTTGTCCTTTTTCAATACAAATCCAGGAGGAAGTGCATGACGATACATGCAATTATCACCTCCTCCAGGACATACCCAAAACCAGCCATACTTGTTATTTTCAATAGCTTCAAGGAAATGCTTGCACACCTAGAGAGAAAATATTATTCAGAAATACTGGCTCAGTGTAGTCTGTTTTACTGGTAAACACTCAAATATATGGAACAAGTACATTTGTTCACATCTTGGTGCTAACTTTATGTACATATGCAAGCACCTTTATATATATAAAAAGTATCCTAAAATATTTAATACAGTGGCAAATTTCATATAACTTTTCTGATTTCTGAACTATATGATTACACTTGCTTCAGGCCTTTGTAAATGTACGCCTCAAGTTTTCTAAATAAATTGGCAAGTATACAAGGGTATTAAAAAAACAAAACAAGTCCATGAGAGAGGTTAATGGTAATGCTTGCCTAGCATGTATGAGGCTCTGGGTTTGGATCTTTGCAGCATAAAAACAAAACAAAAAGACCCACGATGATTTTGTTTTCATCTTTTCCCCAAACTACATGTGCATTATGCAACTCACTTGAAGTAGACACACTCTAGGACAGTACCCCATCTTCAGCCATGTTTACACTCAGCACATCTGCTGAGTGTTTCCCTACTCTTAATTTTTGTGAAAATGTTTCCCAAAAAGCAAAACTCATGGTAAGCCTCCCAAGACAGATCATATAAAGTGATTTCAGTGATAAAATGAAAATTTTAGATTTGTTAAGAGGCATTTCTCTGAATCAAGCATCAATAGTATTCAGGATAAAGAGCATAATGTAATACAGCATAATGATGCTGTATTAATGTATACTATTAATTTTTGTGTTAGTAATGCAGCCTACCCTATGTGGTTTCAAACTATGGCTGCTCAGATGCACTACATGTATAATATAGGTATATTTTAGTAATTTTTTTAGAGCTCTGTACTCTCTGTATATGGACTATTCAAAATTTCTCAAGAATGGTCCTGAAACTATACTTGTGGAGATACCAAGGTTCTACTCTATAAGCTACTTCATGTTTTAGTCATGAGGGAACATTCTGCCCTTTCAAACATGTAAGAGTCCAGTTATATTGAAGCCTCAGGCAGTTCTTTCCTAAAGAACAAATAAAAAAAACCCTCAAAAACTAAACCCAAAAAACTAATACATGTATGTGAATCCAGCACTTAAACATATAGGACTGTCAAACTTGTCAACTGTACTGTACTTAATATGTAGACAGAATTCAGGGTCTGAGAAATAAATCAATTATTTTTAAAGGTAGATTTCCTACAATACCAGAGCATCTGCATCTACCTATCAAAAATTCATTTTGGAATTCATAGGTTAAATTTAATAATTTAATAAAAAAAATTCTCTATAAAATCAAGGCTTTTTTTTTTTTTGCTTGGTTGTGGGGCTTGATCTTTGGGCCTGGGCACTATCCCTAAGCTCTTCAGCTCAAGCTGAGTGCTTTACCACTTGAGCCACAAGGCTACATCAAGTTTTCTGGTGGTTAATTGGACATAGAGTCTCACAGACTTTCCTGCCTGGGCTGGCTTTGAACGAGATTCTCAAATCTCAACCTCCCAAGTAGCTAGGATTACAGGCATGAGCTACTGGTACCCAGCCACTCGGCTATCCGTTTTTGTTTAAGTGGTACTGAAAAATCGAACCCAGGGCAGCCTCATACATGCTAGGCAAGCTCTTTACCACTAAGCCACATTCCCAACCTCCAAAGAATAAATTCCTAATAGGTTACCTTTTCAAGCTCACAGGACTCTGCTTTATAGTTAGTCTGGTCTGGGTAGAAATACTATTTGTAAGTCTCCCTGCCATTGGGAGACAGTTGTGTAATACTGCACTCAGTCTTGGATTAAGATAGTCTCAAACTTTTAAAATTTGAAACTTGTGCTGGTTTCAAACTGTGATCCTCTGATCTCTGTCACCTCAACAGCTAGAATGACAAGTTTATGCCACTGTGCCAGGCTTGGATTTAATTTTTCAACATTATCCAAATTAAACCATCCCAGATGATGATGCATTTAAAGGACTTTATTCACATTGATTTTCCAAAGATGTTTTTTCCTGGGGACATTACTGGGATGAACTCAGGGCCTTATGCTTATTAGGCAGACCCTCTATCACTTGAGCCAATAGCCCTTTTTGCTGTGTGTGTGTCCCCTGAGTCTTGAGTTTGGGACCTGGGTGGAGTCCCTGAGCTTTTGTGCTTCAGGCTAGAGCTTTACCACTGTGAGCCACAATGCTATTTCTGTTTTTTGTTTTTTTTGGTCACTTTTGTTTGGTTTAGTTTTTTTTTTTTTTTTTTTTTCTGGGTATTTAATTGGAGATAAGAGTTTTCTGGGCTTTCCTGCTGAGACTGGCTTCAGTGACTCTCAGATCTCAGCTTCCTGAGAAGCTAGGATTACAGTAAACCACTGGCACCTGGTGCTGCTGTAGTTATTTTTTAGACAGGCTCTCTCATTTTTTTCTACGCCAATTTTCTATTATGCCTCTCCCATACCTGAGAGCTGTGCCCTACCATGCCCAGAAGACTGGTTGAGATGAAATAACTTTTTGCCTGAGTTGCCTGGACCATTATGTTCCTACTCTCTTACTTTCAAATACCCGAGACTATTAGCTTGAGCTACCTACCATACTTGATCTCAAAGTCTCCTTTTGAAATTCATTTTCTTGTTAATTAAGCTTGATGTAACTTACACTGATGAAATTTTCTAACAACTTAATAATCCAGTAGAAAATAACAGATACCTTGCCATATAAATCTCCCTAATAATAAATGTCACAGCAACTCAATTCAAGAAAAGGACATACTATTTGAGTTTTTGGTTTTTTCTTTTCCGCCTCACCGTGCTTCTTGTTCACTACTTCTTCCAGCTTTTTCTCATCCCAATTTTCCATTGTGTCTAAATAAGAAATTAAGACTAAATGTTAACTTCTATCTTTGGTTCCTACCACATACACTTCTTTAAACAGACAAAAATTCTCTTAAAACTCATGGTCAAAACAATATTTTTTTTACCACTGAAACACTAAAAGATTGTAAAATTATTTACCAAAACCCTCCAAGTGGTTTGGGCAAATGAGAATGTAGTACCAGAGTAAAGAATAACAAATTCAAAATAAATCAATCACTGTAATTTTAAGCATCCTTATTTACAGAATCAAAGACAATAATATGAGAAATTCAACTTTTGTAAAAAATTAGTAAAACCAACTTAATTCTTTACAAACAATACCACTAGGACTGTTACGTTTTTCAAGTTACTACTATACTAACAAAAAATAATAAGCATTTATTTTTAAGATTATTAAAAAGAAATACCTTTTTCAAGTTCTTCATCCCTTGCATCAATGTAAACACTTCGTTTTTCACATTTTCTCTCCAAAGTCAAGTCATGAGAGAACTTACATTTATCTCCTTTAGTACACTGCCCTTGCTTGAAGAAGGCACACACCACAGACTTGGGATCCGCACCTGTATCAGATGGGATGCAGAACTTGTATTACAATTTGCCATGCCATTAAGTACAGCTTGATTATGGGATACAGCTTGCTTTTTCTTCTATTCACTCATGTGGGAGAAAAATACCCCTTACAAGAAATTGGTAGGATCTTTCCAAAAGTTCTTTCTATAGAAGCAGTTTGTGTATGTTTCTTTTTTTAAAAAACTTACTAAAACAGACCGTAGAAGGAGGGAAACCAAACACATAGGTTATTCCAGAGCAAAGAGTTTATACAACTAAAGCTTTATCTTAGCTATTGCAAAAGATCAAATATTATAAATGAAATTTCTAATTTTGTCTTAAATGTAAGGCTAATGGCTGGAGTTGCATTGTACGATGACACAGCTAACAAACATGAAAACCTGAAAGGGATAAAATAATAATTACATCTGATAAAAATACCTTTGTTATTTAAATTTTACCTTTACTTATTTTTTGAGCAGCAACAACAGGTTTGAACAGCTCATTAAGTTCTTGTAATTCTTTCTTCTTATCATCCTTCTTCAATTTCTTTTCAGCTTCACTTTGTGCTACCTACAAATATTTCCAGGTTTAACATGTAAACTTGGTTGCTTATAAAAAGTGTTTTTACCACACAGTAATCACTAATAAAGGTATATGAATATTTAGTCTTTACCTTTAATGGTATATATTAAATATTGTGATTAAACTGTTAAATGAAACTGATAAACCTTGTGATGGATTCTCTTTTGGTATATAATCAGTACCATACCTGGTTAAAAGCACATTCAGAATCTTTTGACAAGGATTGTTGCCAATTAAACATTTAATACATGACCAACATTTTTATCAAATGGCTCTAAATTGAGGCATTTCTCCAATGAAAACGACCACTTCCAGAAATGGATGGCCTATTTTGATGATGTATCTCAAGTATACAATCACACAATCATGACTGCTCCACTCAAAAAACTAGAGAATCATTGTTGAAAAACATCTAGTCTAAGTCAATGTAAGAGATTAAATAAAACACAAGTGTAACATAGCTTTAGGTATATGATTTATATACTTATCTAATACAATTAAGAGATTTCATCCAAACATTTATATATCAGCTCCTAGGTCAGGTATACAAAGATGTTTAACAAAGCTCAGAGTCTAGTGGGAATAGAGATAGGTCAACAAATATAATATCATGGTATTTTGAGAAAAAGGAGTGCAATATGCCTAAACAAATTGTTCTGATGAACAAGCAAAGAACGCAGAAAGTGTTAGCCAGTGTCAGGTCAGAGATGAGAGGAAAAAGCTATCAACAACATCAATGGGAGGACTGGGACTATGTCAGTAGGGGACAGGGTTCAACTTGAGGGTACAGAAAGCAAGCAACAAAGATTATATCCTACTTTATCTAGATCAGGATGGCAGTACTGTGGATACACTGGGAATCCAAGAATACAGATGAAAAACTTAGAGCAATTGCTATAGACAAGAAAACACAAGAGCTTAGATCAGGCATTAAGAGTAAGGATAAGAAGACTGCCCAGGAGAAGAATGGATAAAACCAAGTGACTGAAGTGTTCAGTGTACAGGAGCAAGAAAAATCTAGGATTATCATATGTATGATTAATGTTGTTAAACAAGACTGGAAATACAGGAGGAACAGGTTAGAGGACAGAAGGTGGAGACAACTCTGTTTTGGACATACTGAATACAAAATGCTTACACAGGATCTGGGTGGAGCTATTCAGAAGGCTGGTGCACTGGTTATAGACCCACTTCACTGAATCTAGAGAGTCTGGTCTGAGACTGAGAATTTTAAAATAGCAGTTTATAGATAACTGTTTACAAGTTTACAGATAAAAATTTTGAGAATATGTGAAATTTCAAGGACAGTAATAATAAAAAGTTGCAAGAGCAGAAGACAATTCCTTGAAGATTATCAATGTATTAAATAAGTCAACAGAACTTAAATAAGTCAACAGAACCTGAATGACTTAGTAAAGAAGTCAAAAACATTAGCAATCAGAACAGAATGTTCAAGAAAGAGGAATTTTAGGGAAGGAATGGTCAAATGCTACAACTGGGTCACACAATTTCCAAATTCTTACTCTGACCAGATGGTGGAGTTTATGTGTTTAGAAAGAAATAATTAAGCCACTCTCTTTTTAATTATCCTTTGTTCATTAGGTTCATTTCAAACAGTATAGGGTTACAACAAGAATGTAAGGAAAGACACAACTTTTTAATATATTAGAAGTTACAAGTTGAGTGTGGCAGCCTATGCATGTAATGCCAGTGTTCAAAAGTCTGAGGAAGGAGGATCACAAGTTGAGGGCAGCCTAGGCTATATAGTCAGACTTCATCTCAAAAAAGAAAATAATAAATTAATAATAAGCAAATAAAATGAGTTTTATACCTATTTGCTATATTTTATGACCTGTAAGAATAGGTTCAAATTTAAAATGCTTAGGCTCATGCTACAGAGTTTTACGATGAAATCCAGCAATAACACAGTTCTAATGTAGCCAGCCCACGGCTCCTTTTCCTCTCTTTGCCCCTTGTTTCATCTTATCTTGCTGTGTGTAGGGTAAGCAGAAGGTGCTGGGGAGGAAATGGTATGGATGTAGGTTCTGCCCTCATTCGTAGGTCCTGTAAAGTTCAAAATTATTGTAGAGGACCTCTGGATGGACACATCCTCTCACTCTCATTGACTCCTTCCTGCTGGAAAAAAAATGTCTTGGGAAGACAAAAGAGTAGGGAACATCCTCAATAACACAGTGCTGAGGGCAAGGTAGCTCAGATCCAGCAAAACTGCTGCTCATTTTCAAAAGTTACATAGTAGTTAGGTACTCTGTTTGTAGAGAGCCCATTTACACAAGGCTCAAGCCTATAAAACTAGTACTTATGAAAATGTATTTGTATGTGTGTATTGATATAAACTATAGTTTATGAAAATGAGTAGAAAAAAAATCTAATGAACAGTGCCTTGGAAAGTAAAGCCTTTAAACCGTATTTCACAAACCTAGACCCGTCTGACATAATAAAAACTAAAAGTCCATTGTTCTTAGTTTAGTCTGAAAAAAAAAAAAATCACAAAGTATCTACAATGTGTACAAAGTACACTCTCAAAGTAACAAGAAAAAGTAACAAGGAAAAAATAAAGAAAAAGAAACAAAATTCACAAGGATTTGAACAGGCAAATCATAGAAGTATAGACTCAAACATCTAACAGCATGTGAAAGACTCCCTCGTACAGAGGAACAATGCAAAAATGCAATACCACTTTATACACATATAATACTGGTAAATACTAAAGAACCTCAGAGACTATTACTCATGCATAGCAACGGAAAATTTGAAGTATTACAGCCCTATGGAATCTAATCACATGAATTTATTAAAATTAGAAATCTAATTCCCTTCCTCCAGAAACATAAAGACTACTAGCAGACAATTTCTGCCAAGAAATAAATGAACATGCTTAAAGAACACACAGAAGAGATTATCACTTGTAGAAATATTCTTGGTGTCATAAAGCTGAAAACAAATCATTCATGAGCAGCTAACAGATAAAATATACCTACCCTGTAGAACAGCCATTCTACTCTAGGAGAATGAGAGCTATATCAAAATGGCTTGGAGGAATAGGCAAGAGGTACTGATGCATCAACACAGGTTAATATGCAAAAATTTTAGAATAAGATTCTATTTTGAAATACAACGACAAAATCAAATACTTTTAAGCCCCCCCCCCCCCCCCCGCTTTTTTTGTCGGTTGTGGGGCTTGAACTCTGGGCTTGAGTGCTGTCCCTGCGCTCTTCAGCTCAAGGTAAGCGCTCTACCATTTGAGCCACAGCACCACTCAAAATCAAATACTTTTATATGTCACAGATACTGTATAATAATGTATCCTAAGAAAATATGGAAATTTATTTACCTGACGTGGATTTTGTTGACCAAATTTAACTTGGTGAGTGACAGCCTTGATAAACTTCTGTTGTTTTGCTCCTTTCTTATTCTTTAGGCCAAAAGTTTTGTCCTAAATAAGAATATAAAAATATCTTAGCAATTTATACAGCCATTTTTTCAAATGATATCTAAAAATCATTTACTCATTAAGAAGTAATTCCCTACACCACAGGAAGACATTTAAAACAGTAAAACATCAAGCCAAGGCAATATAGAACCTCAAAACATCACCCAATATTAATGAATGAGAGGAAAATACATTGAATTTGTTGGTGGGTTGTATGATTAGGAACCTGTATGCACAACTAATAAAAACCACCATAAAAAATGTTAGTATGCTGCATTTTTTCCACAGTGTGGAAATGAGTAGTCCTATAATCAAATCAGTGTGGGAAAAAATTTAAAAAGTATTCTTAAGTCTTTTTTATTTTTGTTGTGGGGATCAAAACTCAGGGCCTCCATGCCTAACGTTGTTCCTAAAACAGAGAATACCTCTGATTCTTCTCCCTTGAGAATATATCTCCTGTTTGTTGTAGTTAGGAAGTCACAAGTGGTTGTGGATAGAACAACTAGCTATATCTAATGCTTCTAATCCAGTTTTCAGCTTCTTGCCTTCTGCACTACCTAGTCCCCTCAGAATTTTGGGGAGCACATTCACTTGATTTTCAATGGCTTACTCTTCGGTGGTCATTCAGTTCCAGTTTCTCTGCTTTCTCAACTCATTCAACTACTAACAATCTTCACATACTAAAGCTCAATGCTATAGATGTCAACTGATTCCAAAATAGAATTTGTATTTTTCTTTCTCATTCTGCAGCTGCAGGGTTTCAGAAAGAAGGAAGAGGTAAGAATGTCTTTATATTACATTGGAAAATTTTCCAAGGCCCTCTCCTAGGCATTTATCTGAAATAATAGTATTGAGGAAAAAAATGTTAAGTAAATAAAGTCAGAAAGACAAAAGATGCATATTTGCTCTCATATGTGGAAGTCAGGTCTAAATTATAAATATGTAAACAAACATGCCAAGTCATATGCAGATATACACAAAGTAACTAACATACAGTAATGCAGAGGTTTCCAATGGTGTTACTCCTTTAACAACCAACTTATGCCCAGACATCTTCCAGGAAGCTCCCATGTGACTAAACAAGAAAGCCACCTCCAAATCCATGCAAGAGGATAAGGAGACCCTAGAAATGCCTGACTGATGAAGAAGCAAGGGAAACAACTACAAAGTGTACTACAAAGATGAAGAGGATGGAGGTAAGATAGCTAGAAGCCCCAAGGGGGTAAAAAGTTAAGAAAGGAGAAAGTTTAACAAAGTGACTAATTACCAGGAAGATGGAATATGTGTTGGGGTGGGGGCGGGTAATTCAAGAGGAAGAAGTAGACAAATGGAGAGAGGAAGGATGGTTGAATATAGACATACTATTCAATGAACTTATACAGAAAAAGGAATCATAGATGATCAGTGATTGGAACAGATGAAAACCCAGGGGTGATGATTACACATAAAATGACATGTTGAACTGAAATTCTTGTACAACTACTTCTTAGATATAAATGAACCACAATACAATTATGACTATCTCAGAACCAGTAAAACAGATTTTTTTTTTTGGTCCGGTTGTGGGGCCTGAACTCTGGGCCTGGGCGCTGTCCCTCAGCTCTTCAGCTCAAGGCTAGCGCTCCACCACTTGAGCCAAGCGCCACTTCCAGCTTTTTTCTTTTTGCTTATATGGTGCTGGGGAGTTGAACCCAGGGTCTCAGGCATGCAAGGCAAGCGCTCTACCACTGAGCCACCATCCCAGCCCAGTAAAACAGATTTTTATTAATTTTAAGGTTCAAAAGGTTTGGGTTTAAAAAAAGGCTATTTCTCATTGGAAATACCACTTTATTCACAGTACCTATTGTCCATTCATACACTTTGCTTTTCCATATTTAAATAACCCAACAAAGTACTACAAAATTAGACATAACTTTTCTACAGTTTATGCATATGAAAAAAGGAAGCAATATGAACCAACATTTTCTGCACCAAGCATTTAATAAATGACATTCCTTGTTTTAGGGGGGACGTCTTTAATATTCTATCCACTTCAAAGGTAAGATGGTCAAGGTAATATGACTGAGAGAGAAATGCACACAACACAGCATCTAAGCGTGAAATGGCATACTTTCTTTAGAGAAAGTATGGGTTGTCATGAGAGGGGGAAGAGACTACATAAGAAACATTTAGAGCCTCTGTAGATGTACTGCAAGAAAGGAATATAACTGGGGTTCAACTCATGCCTCATATGTAATTATAGAGAGGAAATCAAGCTATATGTGTAAACAAGACCAAATAGCAAGGTAGATAGTGACATTTACTGACTTAGGGAAAATAGTCTCTAAGGGAACATGGCCAAATAGAAAATAAAGTAAAAACAACAGCAGTTTCTAATAGAGGTGTATAAACTCCAGATCCCCAAAGGGGGAAAAAAATCAGGTTAATTATACTGCTATAGCACATAATTAGCCAGTCTAAAGAGACAATGAATAAATTGTATTTTGATCATCTCTAGAGTTCACATATTTTTCCCAGAGAAAGGGAATAGATATATCTATTATTCACTAAATATATTCTCTTAAATACAAACTCTGAATCTTAATACTTTGAGTGTTATTTATTCCTAAAAGTACAGAAACTCAGGAATGTACAATTCTTTTGAAGTTATGCGGTTAAAAGCTATATAAAGTGAATGTTACATCAAATCTTAGAGTTGGGTCAATTACCCTCTGAGCTATAGTTTACTTACTGGAAAATAGGTCTCATTCTAACCCTCTAAAAGTTGAAAGACTTAAAACAGAGAGGCAGTATAATAGAGTGGCTGTCATTAAGAACTTAGGAGCCAAATTCTGACTAATCTCTGTGCCTACTTTCTTAACTGTAAAAAAAAGAGAATAAGAAATCTAATTCTAACTGGGGGGCAGTGGCTCACGCCTGTAATCCTAGCTACCCAGAGGGCTGAGATCTGAGGATCACAGTTTAAAGACAGCCCTGGCAGGAAAGTCTATGAGACTCTTATCTCCAATAGCTACCAAAAAACTGGAAGTGGCACTGTGGGTCAAATGGTAGAGCTGAAGAGCTCAGGGACAGCACCCAGGCCCAGAGGTAAAGCACCATGACTGACCAAAAAAAAAAAAAAAAAAAAAAAACCAGAAAGAAATCTAACTCTAAGAAAATTAGAGGAGCTATATATTTATTTCCTTTATTCAGTTGTTCTTTCTTCCTCCCAAACACTGAGAATTGTCTGTATTAATTAAATGACTGACTTGACTGCAAAGGAAGACTTAGTTCTTTCCTCTACGAAAAACTAAGTACTTTACAGAGAAGCCAGGTTAAGTTATAGAACAGTTCAGTACCCAAAAAACTTTCTAAAAAGCAGTGTGGATCTGGATTAACAACAGTGTCTTTTTTTCCCTCATGCAGGTCCTGGGGCTTGAACTGGAGGCCTGGGCATTGTCCCTGAGCTCTTCTGCTCAAGGTTATCATTTTACCATTTGGGCCATTGTTCCACTTCTGCCTTTTTGAGGTTAAAGAGCCTCTTGGACTTTTACAGTCTGGGTGATCCTCAGATCTCAGCCTCCTGAGTGGCTAGCATTACAGGTGTGAGTCATTGGCACCTGGCTCAACAAAGTGTCTGTTGGCAGTAGGATGGTTCATAATTTGGGATCCTCCAATAAAGTTATTTCCCGAGGACAGAGTCTTACCTTAAGACTGATCTAGACTTGGGAATGGAGGTATTAGGTAGGTTTTGGTGAATTCTCAGGTATGATTAAGATCCCCCAAATTAGGCTATGGGAAATGAACAGTAGATTTGAAAAACTGAATACAAGGCAGTTTGGGAAGCATGCTGTAAACTGTCAATAGTGCTGGGAGGCTGAGGCAAGAGGACTGAAAGTTGGAAGCCAGCCTAGGCTACTTGGTGAGTGAGACCCTGTCTTAAAAATAAAACAAGCCAGAAAAAGTACCAAAGAGCCTTGAAGAACAATGAATTCCAGAATTCACTTAAAATTCATTCTCTCAGTTCTCACCCTCAGGACACCCTGTTCCTATACAAGCCAGCCTCCATCTCTTAAGGAATCAGGTGAAATGAGTGAGCAAACAGTTGTCCAAGACAACTGGACACTGGGGTAAGCAGGTGACAGTTTTACCTTATACACCCCTGCCTATACCCCACCTTCCCCAATGCTCTCCCCATGTCCATGTCCTAATGGATTTTCATGTTCATTAAGCTAACTGATTAAGTTAGCTTCAAATATTCAACAGTTCACATCATTTAAAACACATTGACAATCAATACATTTTCTCTATCATTTTTAAACACACCTGGCTCTGATTTACATAGGTCTCTATCACTACTTCTTTGCTGTTACAAGTCTTTAGCTGGAAATTCTTTGAGTATCCTTAAAGATTATTTTCTCTCTTGTGGGGCATCAGTGGCTCATGCCTGTAATCCTAGCTACTCAGGAGGCTGAGATCTGAGGATCACAGTTCAAACCAGCCTGGGCAAGAAAGTCCGTGAGAATCTTATCTCCAGTTAACCACAGAAAACTGGAAGCGGTGCTGTGGCTCAAGTGGTAGAGCACTAGCCTTGAACTGAAGAGCTGAGGGACAGTGTCCAGGCTGAGTTCAAGCTCCTCAGCCCACCAACACCTCCTCATCCCCCCAAAACCCACAAACCTCTCTTTCATAATCAATTTTTTATTGCTCAATGCTGACTTTATAACTAAATTTTAGTCATAAGAAAACAAATGGTAAGCTGGGCACCAGTGGCTCACGCCTATAATCCTAGCTACTCAGGAGTCTGAGATCTGAGGATCATGGTTCAAAGCGGCCTGGGCAGGAAACTCTATGAGACTCTTATCTCCAACAAACCGCTAGAAAACTGGAAGTGGTGCTGTGGCTCAAGCGGTAGAGTGCTCTCCATGAGCTGAAGAGCGCAGGGACAGCGCCCAAGCCCAGAGTTCAAGCCCCATGACCGACCAAAAAAAAAAAAAAAGAAAGAAAACAAATGGTATATATCATTTGAGACCAACGTGTGACTAATACAACTAGAACTATAATCATCTTATATATTCATCTCAGAAAAAGTGTTCATACAAATAACTCATGAAACTAGAGCTCTACAACTTTGAGCCACAGCGCCACTTCTGGTTTTCTGGTTGTAATAGGAGATAGAGTCTCAAGGACTTTCCTGCCTGGCTATTTTTTTTTTTTTTTTTGCAGGTGCTGGGGCTTGAACTCTGCATCTGGGGCCTGTCCTAAGACTCTCTTTGCTCAAGGCTAGTGCTCTACCACTTGAGCTACAGCACCAGTTCCGGCCTTTTCTCATTTAGTTTACTGGAAATAAATAAGAGTCTCATGGACTTCCCTGCCCAGGCTGGCTTCAAACTGAGATCCTCAGATCTTAGCCTCCTAAATAGCTAGGATGACAGGCATGAGCCACCAGCATCAGGCCTGGGCTAGTTTTGAACCATAATCCGCTGACCTCAGCTTCCTCTGTAGCTAAGATTACAGGTGTGAGCCCAACTACTAGTTTTCATTTATAATATTAACAAAAGCTGTCATCTATTGAATATATGTCACACAGCAGGCACGTTATGCATTACTTAACTCATAGCTCTGGAATAATAGAAAACATTAGGTCTATTTTACAATAGGGGTCTTGAACTCCAGTCCACACACTTTGAAGATGATGCTCCCTTTAATGAATTCTGCTATATCCCTTGTCTCCCATAGGAATATAGCTAAATGGAACAGGACTAGACTGGTGTGTTCAAGGACCTGGGTTTGATACTAAGGAACCAAAACCACAGTGTTACCTCTCCTGCCTGCACTTTTTGCTTTTCAATTGAAGCTCTCAAAAGTAGGATGTTGTTCCTTTTTCACAGTGAAAAGCAACCATAGCAGCACCTTCCAATAAAAGTACAGAAGGTGGGACAGATAGGAAAGACAATCACTTATTTAAAAATCTATTAAAAAGCAATGATTAAAGAACTGAAGATGTAGCTCAGTGATAGCCTGCATGTTTTAGCAATGCCCTAGGCTTGATTCATAAATACAACTGCTGAAAAGTACATATTTTACTTATTAATTTTCATTGATTTAGGAGTTAAGCCATATGTCTATAAGGTTGTTCAAAGTTGGTCTCTCAAAGTATTAGTTTTTAAGATGTGAAATAGACCAGAGGTATTTTTCCAGAAACTTAAAACAAAAACTCAAAACAATAGCTTGAACTAGATTATGTTCATTATGAGGCTATCATAAAATAAATTTTACTTCAGCTTATATGTGTTGATAACAAAAGCCTTTTCTAGCAGAAACTTCACAAATCTGACAGAAATTGATTTTAAAAACTCTCTAGATGAAGTATGACTGGGGAGCTGAGAACTAAGCTTACTCTGCATTTCCTTATCTCCTTACAGTAGTCATCAAAATATAGCTGGGGCTCTGGGGAAGTTAAAATCACAAGGAAACCCCATGCAAAAATATATATATTTTTTATATATTTATTTATTTTTGTTTGTGGGGCTTGAACTCAGTGCCTGCCTGTGCCTTGTCTCTGAGCTCTTTTGCTCAAGGCTAGCACTCAACTACTTTGAGCCGCAGTGCCACTACTAGTTTTCTGGTGGTTAACTGGAGATAAGAGTCTCATGGACTTTCCTACCCAGGCTGACTTCAAACCACAATCCTAAGATCTCAGCCTCCTGAGTGGCTAGGATTACAGTAGTGAGCTATCTGTATCCAGTGGAATTAAAAAAAAATCAGTTAAACAATGCAGTTGTCTTCTTATGTATTCTTTTTTGGAGTTACTTTCACTAATGAAAATGAAGCTGCTTTCTATTTACCTTAAAGATAAGCTTATTGGATGCATAATAATAGTTCAATGGCAAAATGCATGCTTTGAAAACAAAGGACCATGAGTTCAATATCCAGCAACTGTTTCCCCCATGCTCCAATTTTTTTTGTTGTTGCAAGATTAAAGGAGTCACACTACATGTATAATAGTTAAATAGTGGATCGCCTACTATAAATAGCTTTATACAAAATTCCTTTAAAAATTTCCCTTCCCAGACAGTAGGAGAAAAACAGCGGGGATAACAATGCTCAAAAGAAATGTACTCATTACCTAAATCATGTAACTGTAAACCCTCTGTACAGCATCTTTACAATAAAATAATTAAATTCCTATGTAACTCTATGCTCTACAATGTATCAAGTGTATTTTAGGTTGTCAGGTAACATTTGTTTTCACGTTTTACTTTGTATCTTCATCGGTTGAGATGAATGACAACAGATACACCTAAGTGTGAGTAATACAGTTTGATTTTAACAAAGAAAAGACAGTAAATGTAGATGATAATCAATTTGCTTTCTCAAATTTCTGGCTGTAGCACTTCTTGATAGTTTTAAGCAGTGCAGATTATGAATTCTTACAAGCCAATTTTATTTAAATCCAACCAGGCAACGTAAAAATTATGTGTAATTTGACAGTTATGAGGTATGTACAACCAAACAGAGAACGTCCACTGTAATTTTAAAGACTAAACGTTGAAAAAACCTGTTGTATTTTTTAAAAAATCTTATTTGAAAACAAGGATTTTGGTCAAGAATTTTGAAAAGGTACCTATTTCCTAAGAGGTTATGTTATTCAGATATACCCTATGCTTCAAAATCGTCATGGTCGCTTCCAATTACATGCAGAATTCATGAGATACTCTTTATGTATGAAGATTTATAGCAGAAAATGAGAGAACAAATACCTTATCAGGGGCTATAGAATGTTTATGGGGTTTCGTCAAGCATGGCTCACTATCTTAAGGAAACTAATACTGGCGTTGCAGAAGAGGTGAGAACCCTTGGGAACGTCATCCAGGCGGTTCAGGCTCAGGGCGCTGCGCAAACGTGTATATGTAAGCGTGTGTGTGTATGCACACACACTCTGCTTATGGGGCACAGCATTTATCACAGCTAATGACACACAGCTTTTGGAGCGTTACTCCAACCTAGTTCAGACGAGGTACACGAGTGCAGCTCCGACCTCGGAGAAAACTCGGCTCTTTACGGGAAAGTTCACGGGTGGATCCCCAAAGACAGACCGACACCAGGTGACGGCTGTGGGGTCGAAGAAGTTAGCAGGACTAACCCGGGACGATGGAAACGGCAGCACGAAAGGCCTGTCCGAAGGGAGGCCTTCCAGAAAAGCCCGACCCAAGCCCGTCCCGCCGGATTCCTTTTCCACATCACCCCGGGAACGTGTGCGTCGGTGAGAGGTTTAGCGCAGGACCGGCCCCCGGGACCCGGGCACCCCTGGCCCCCGCGTGGGGGCCGGCAGGCGCGGGGGGCGCAGGCGCGGAGCCCGGGCTCGGCTGGTCGGCCGCCGCCCGCGGCGTCACTATCGCAGGGGGCGGCGGCGGCGTCCCGCGGCCCGGAGCTGGGGTCGCGGGTCCCCGAGGGCCGAGGGAGGAGCGAGGGAGGAGCACGTGGCCCCGGGGTAGGCGCGCGGGGGGGGGGGGGCGGGGGGCGCCGGAATCGCGCGCGGGGGTCAGGGGTCGGGGGTCGCGGGCCGCCGCCCCGAGGCTCGCGGCGCCGTGGGGGAGGGGAGGGCACTCACTTCGATAATCTTCTCCTTCTTCTTCTGTTCCGCCTTTTTGCTGCCCCCGGCCTGAGCCTGTTTCTTGGGGGGCATTGCGAAGACCGATGGCACCGGCCAGACCTAGGCGCGGATGGATACGGTCGGAATCGGAGGGTGAAATGAAGCACCCGGTCCGGGGGAGGAGGAGGAGGAGAAGACGATCTGGCCGCCGCCGCCGCCGCAGCCGCACACGGAAAGCGAGTCGCTCATTCGCCGCCGGAACGCGGCCTTTGCGACAGGCCGGCGTCGTAGAGCATTGTGGGAAGCGACGAACGGTGCCCGGAAGTGGGTGTGAGCGTGCGCAGCGGCTAAGTCCGGCCAGGAGGGGGCAGGGGCGGGACGTGGGAAAGTGATTCCGCGTCGCACGTGACGTCGCGCGCCCCCGCTGGGCCATTCCTAAGTGGCGGCGCGTCGGAGGAGGAGGAGTCTGCGGAGGGCGGGCGGCCTGTGGCCCCGGCTTCGCGGGACGGGGCGGGTCGCGCCCGCGCTCACGTTAGTATACGGTGGGGTGTACCAGCCCATCCCGAGTGGTCCGTCAGGCCGCTCGGGGATGCTGTCAGCCCGACGCCGGGTTTTCTTTCTCTTGCCACCCGGAGGGTCGAGGCTGGAGGTTCCTTTGAAGAGGTCTTCAGGAACGGGTCTCCCAGCGACTGGAGATAAACTCCCTTTGGAGTAGTGTATTGAGTCCCGCTCTGGGAAAGTGCCTCGATGATCCCCCAACAAAACCAAAAAACCCCTCTAATGCTAAAGTAACAGCGTGCTGGTTCAAAACTTAAAAAAATTCATTCAGTTTCACAGCTGCACTAAGGAAGGAGTGGTGTGGTCCTCATTGTAAAGATGGCACAGACAGGAAGGAAGAGGTCCCAAGCTATGTTAAGATCTGAGCCAGTGATTCTAACCGTGGCAGTTGGTCTTCAAAGTACATGCTTATCACCTTTCGTTATAAAAGTGTGTCTTCTTTGAAAAGGTCTTTGAGAAATGAATGAATTAGGGCCGTTAATATTTGTACAAAACAAAGTTCGATCTTATTAAAATGTGCAAAAGCTTGGCTGTTACTTGGCGTTGCATGATATTGCTTAAACTGCATTGTGGAGGCAAGAAGCATCTTTCTAGGTAAGATTTTTAAATCACGTAGAAACCAGTGCGAATGATTTGCTTAGTAACATTGTTCTAAGTAAGATAATGTCAGTTTAGTTTATAAATGCCTGTTTATGTGTGTGCCTGAACTCCACTTGGGCTCCTAATGCAGACTGATAGGCACTCCTCTTTTTACTTAATACTTTGTTTTCTTTTTTGCTTTATTTGTAGTTGTAGATGAGAGGATTGAACCCTGTGCTCTTCTTTACTTGGTACATCACTTTGACAAAGTACTTGAGAGAAACAAATTATAAGGAAGAAAGATTCATTTACTTTTCAGAGATTTCAGTCCAAGGTCTTTTGGCCTTGTTGCTTTGGGCCTATGATGGCACAGTACAGTCATTGATGGGAGTGCAGTGTGGAGTAGGCCTGTTCACTTCATGGAAGCTGGGAGCAAAACATGGGCAGGTGCCCTAATATCTCTTTCAACCTCTTTCCTCCATTACCTGACATTCCTCCATTAAGCCTCACCTCTTGCAAGTTCCACCATCTCTTGTAGGCTTCCAGGCTTCCACATCAAAGCCTTTAACACATGGGACCTTTGTGGAACATTTTGTATCCACCACATGACACAATTTTAATGTTTTTTTTTTTTCCTTTGGAAATCCTCTCCTCTGGGATTTCTTGTGGAGGTACAGTGTACTTGTCTTAACACCTTGTTTCCCTTGCCTGTAAAGGTCCTCTGTAAGCCTTTGTTTTTTTAATTTTTGTGCCAGTACAGGGACACGATGTCAGCCTTATGCTCTTTCCTTTTCATAGAAGGCTAACACCCTACCACTAGAGCCATACCATTTTCCGAAGTCTCAAGGACGTTTGCTACCCATGCTGGCTTCAAACTGTGATTCTCAAATCTCAGCCTCTGGATTAGCTAGGATTATAGGCATGAGCTACCAGCATAACCTTTAGGATTTGAAGAATTTTACTGGCAATCATTGTACAACTAATGAACTATGACAAATAAGGGGAAATTGTAAGAATCTAGAATCTAAACTTATAATGCCTCCTTTTGACCTTTGCTTTTATTTCCTTCCTGAAGTTGTAATCCAGATAGTGAAAAAAAGATGCTTCCTTGACTCAAGGAGAAAGCATACATTTCTAAATACTGTATGTTAATTGATAGCCTTCTCCATATATTTATTTTCTCCCCTCACCCCCAGAAGTTCTCTATATAGCCCGGATGGTCTCAAAGTCATAAACTTCCTGCCTCCACTTCCTAAGCACTGGAATTACAGGAATATGTCACCTTTCTCAGCTATATGTATTTCTTTCCTACACTAAAAATCAATAAAGTCTTGCTCATTGAATTCATCTTTGTTTTGAAATAAGAAAATCATTTTTTTTTGTGGTCCTCAAAAAGAAAGGGAAGCAGGATTGGGAATTTTATACTCTCTACTATTTTATTGACTTTAATCAAAACTTCATTCAACAATATAAATTGTGGGCATAGTACAATGGTTACAAATTCAGATATTGAAGAAAGCAAGGCTATAAACTTGTGTTAGGATCAATGAAAAACATGAATAGTGGGGAGAGAGCAAACCCTGAGGTAAATCCTTAGTCTAAAAGAGCTCAAAGGAAAATAGTGTCAGACCTGATCTATTTGATTTAGTAAATAAGCTGTGGCTTTAATGCTTACTGATTCTTTATATCTAAAATATATGAGAATATATATTTTGGAATTAAGTTACTTAGCAGAAAATTTGGTACTGAAATAGAAATTACTGTTTGCTAACCAGCAACTTAAATCTTAACACTCCCCCTCTCTCAGGGTGTTGGTGTGTGTGTACGTGTGAGTTTCTGTGTGTTTTGTGTGTGTATGGGAATTACTAGTTATGTTCAGTTTCCATTTTGAGAACAAACATACGAATTTCTCTCTTTTCCTTATTCTAATGTTAGTGCTAGGTATATAAGACTGAGAAGGGAGATTCTCCCTGAAGTTTTCCCTCTTTTTGTCTCAAAAGAATGAGACAAAGACTCAAATAGAATTTAGGAGTTAGTTCTTACAGACTTTGGTGGAATACATGCATTACAAATCATTGGCCAATAATAGAATCCATACCAAACCTTGATTTCTACTTTTCTTACTGTTATCTATGGCTTCATTTGTTTACTAAGCCTGGTTTTCTAGGCTTTTTATAGATTCTGTGAAGAACATTCACTGTTGTTTTTCTTTGTGAGTTAGATTTTAATTGTTTTCAAGCAAGAACTCTGTTATATAGTCTGAATTATGTTTTCAGAATTAATGTTTAAGCAATGACCCTTATTACCTCAGAATGTGACTATATTTAGAGATAAAGGTTTAAAATAGGGCTATTAGGGAAGGACTAATCTCATGTGAATGGTGGACTATAGAAAAGCACATTTGGACACACACTGGGGCTTCATGTGCACAGAAGAAGAACCCCACCAGGCAGAAGGTGGTGATCTGCAAGCTAATGAGAGAAGCTGTAGAAGAAACCAAACCTGCAAATACCTTGATCTCCACAACTATGAGAAAATTAATTTGTATTGTTTAAGCCACAAGGCCTGTAGTACTTTTTTATGATAGTCCTGGCAATCTGTCAAAGACTGATATAAGATCAGGTCCTGTAGGGGTTGCTATTGGCTGAGGCAAGACTTGTTAGTTTATCTAAATTATTTTATTAAGAAAAAGACTGATTAACTTTCCACATAAATAATAAATTTTGTGAATGGAGGTGGTACATACTGGAACATATTTTGGTTTAAATAGTAAATAGTTCAAAAATACTTCTGGTGTGTCATCTCCTTTGTCACTTTTCTCTCCAAAACAAACTATTACAAAAGCCTTGACAGTGTTCCCATAGAGCATGTAAAATCTCTTTTAACTTGTCAGTTTCAATTTTGATGCAATAAACTTTCACTTCAACCTAAACAGACATCAGATTTTCCCAAGTGAGTGACTTATCTGTTTCTATTTCAAATATTTCTTGGTCCATTATGATAATAGTTACTATGGCATTTGTCAAGAAATCATGAAGTACAATTTCCAAATATTTTTTTGCTTCAATGAAGCTAAAACCATTTTCATGATTCCCATCCATCATGTCATTTCCCTAGTGTAATTGCTTTCTGTTGTTTTCCCATGTCTGTTTGAATTCAGTACAGAGAATTCTGCACTTAGCCACAATGTCTGGTTTTTATCTTACTCAATTGATACTACTAATTTTAGGTCAGGTTTTCGTATTCTTCATCTCCACACACAACCTACTCCTCTCTCATGCTTTAGAGGTTTCTATTGGATCCCAAACAGAAACTGTCTACCTTCCATCTAAGTATCATAACTAGACATGTCACAATGAAACTCTCCCTTGTTTAATGTATGCTATTTTATATATTTTACATATATTCCACAGTATATGTAAAATGCTGTGGAACCACAGTAGAGAAATGACTTCTCACCTAGCAAAGTTAGAGCTTCTTAGAAGAGGTGATATTTAAACAGTAGAAATAGGAATTTACTAACTAGAGCAGAGAATTGTGGGTACTCCAGGCAGAGGAAATCACATTTGCAAATATATGAATGTGAAAAAGTACATGACATTTCAGACAATGATGATGGAGTAAAGAAATGTTGAGATAGTGACAAAAGATGAAGCTGAAAATATATTAGAATCAGACATTTAAAAGGGCTTTACATAAATTTTTAAATAACTTGGGCTTTAAAGTGAAGTTATTACTGAGCCATTCAAAGTTTTTATAGAGATATATGATCTGGGATCTGTATTTTTGCCAAGATAAATCTGACAAGAGATAAATTAGGAGCGGGAGTGGCTAGACATAGTGAAATCAGTTATGCTTCTGCAGTCAGCTCCAAGAGAAATGATGAAAGCCTGTACATATTAGTAATGATAGAGATAAGGAAAAAATGGAGAGTTACTGAGTAGTGGTAAATACTCTGGATAAATAGTATCAAAGGACATGAGGAATGAGAATAGGATGTAGGGATTGCAGATGATTTCATGCTTGGGTAGTAGCAAGGGGAGACGAAAATAAGAATTTAGTTGGGGACAGGATATTCAGTATTGTCTTTCTAGGTAGAGATGTAGGATAGACAGGTGAAAGGCTAAAGATAATGATTTTAGATTC